GGTCTGCGGTTAACGGTAGGAAATATGTACGAATAGCGATGAAATTAGACGAGCCGATGCGCTGTTGCCAACAAATGATTTCCCATGTATAACAATGGTTTTTCCTAAGGTGTATATACATACACATGTACATACATACATATACACACATTACATACGTACATGTTGCACCAAGGTTTGCTACATGTACACAAGGGAAGTGAAGAATCATTTAACAATATATCTATAGCAATCTAATTAAGACTATGGATCCAAGTAAATATGAGATTTGACAGCTTTCTTGAAGCAATTTAAGGACATGGTTTTGAATTCAGGACTCAAGGCATTGTAACACTGAAGCCCTGTACGTGAAAGAACGCTGGAATAAAGATGTGGAGTGAATAGGTGTAGTTATCAAATCTGGAAATCTAATATGTCTATGATGAATATTTCGCCTAAAGATCAGCTTTTCTCTTAAGTATATAGGTTTTGACATAAGTATTAGTTTATAAATAAAAACAAGGTAATGATATTTGACAATATTTTTTGTTATCATCCAGTTTAATTCAATAAGACTACCAGAAACATCAAAGCGCCTTAAACCGCAGATGAACCTAGCACAATTGTTTTGCACAATTTGAATCCAATTTCTAGTAACAACTTTGAGACACGGATAATATAAAAATCACAGTAGTTGAAAATCGGCATAACCAAAGATGAACACAGTTTTTTCCTTAGCTTGTAATTGAAAATTGCTTTATTGGCATATAATGATCTCAGTTTCAAGTAGGTTTTCTTCAAAAGATTTTTAACATGACTGGTGAATCTAAGTTTGAAATCGATTACCACGCCAAGAATTTTAACCTCGTCAACCGGGTACAGTCTTTGAGATCCAATTTTAATAGTTAATCGACTTTTAATTTCTTCTCTCCTACGATCCGAACAAAAAAATAACAGGCTGGATTTACCAGGATTTATTGACAGGTTGTGGTTTATCGAGAAGTCATACACTTTTTGAATATCATGGTTTATTGATGTCTGTGCCATTTCCATATCATCAGTATCAAAATGGACCAGTTGAGTATCATCCGCAAAAGACTGGAGTTCACAAAAACTCACAGCCTTAGGCAGATCAGCAATATATATCAAAAACAACAAGGGACCCAAAACAGACCCCTGGGGTACTCCATACGAGATTTCTAGAAAACTAAATTTATTGTTTTCAATTGATACACACTGCGATCGATTTGATATATAATTTCGAAAAAAATTCAATACAATTGGATCTATGCCATAATACTTCAACTTTGCTATTAACAACTCATGATTTATTTTGTCAAAGGCCTTGGAATAATCGATTGACATCACTGATACGCCCATTTTTTTATCAAGTGCCTCTAATATTATCCACTAAGTTTAAGAAGGAAGTAGTAGTACTGAAAGATTTCCTAAAAGCAGACTGATCAGATGGGATGATATGTTCCTCTGCATAATGCATTAGTTGTTTGTGGGCTTCCTTTTCAACTACCTTCGATAAACAAGGCTTATAGGCCTTAGATAGGCAAACTCACCTGGATTTGATTTTTTTGGAACTGGTACCACAATTGCTCGCTTCCACGTTTCAGGGAAATAACCTCTTCCAAGGCAACTATTAACAAGGTGGGTGATGTAGATGAGAGTAACAGGCAGACTGAGCTTAATCATAGACACGCTCAACCCATCATACCTTTTGCATCGGACTTAAAACTAGAAATTATTTCAGCTACTTCATGAGGCTCTAGAAGCCTGAAAGATAATTTATTAATATGGGGAACATTATCGTTATAATACCTTAAAACGTGATCAGGAGCATTTGTGGAATCAAAAACTGATATGAAATAATTATTTGCAAGGAACGAGTCTGCAAGATGGTTTGGAATACGTGGCTTATCAGATGTTTGTGCTTTCATATTTTTCAATTCATACCACAACTTCTGTCTTATTACAGATAGATAGACGCTACAAGTAGCAAACGAAAATTCAATAATATTATCATAAGCTTAACATATTACACTAATTTTTGACAAAATGACTTTACCTAGTCTGGCTCTGGGGTACAGAATTGAATTCCAAGAAATTTCAGGCTAATTTTTAACATACGAGATGGAGCAGTAGAAATCTGAAGAGAAAAGACTATGATCAAGGAGGTCATAAAGGCGTCCTACAATTGTAAGACCGACTGACGATACGGCCTTTAACTGGTCCGGACTTGCATTTCTTTTCCTGCCTTCCTTTTCAGAAAAAATAACAACTGGTTCAAAAATTCTGAGACCATAAAGAACTGATGAAAATCGATAAATTTCCCTGTATCTCGGTTATAAGTGGAAACGGACCCATCAACCATAGGTTACCATAATCTCGATGGCCTCTATACCTTGAAGCAAATTTATCTCCAAAACAAAAAGTTCTAGATTATCACTTCTTAGCCCGATTTTTTGCACATTATTTATGTCTGACAAGGAAATTCGTCACTGGCTGCGTGATTATAAACACCAAAGATACCCATTTGCCCTTTGCCTCATTTTCATAAAAAAACGTTTTAAAGTCCTGATTTTTATTTCAGGTAAGAAAAATAAGTTCGTGCGGTTGCTGTATATCGCACAATGCCATGGAGGTTGTTGATCGATAGCGATTGTATGTTACCTGTTGTCACTTCAGTATGAATCCTTCTTTACTCACACACATAAAAAGTTGCTGAAAATTGTTACATTCATAGTTTTAATAATTGAAAATGGCGACGAACAAAGCAGTAATTCGAAGTTGTTCATATGAGTACAAACTTGGTATAAAAGCTGCAGCGGCGGCCCGAAAAATATGTACCGCATCCGGAGATGATGCCGTTAGTGATCGAATAGCACAGAAGTGGTTCAAAAAATTTTCTTCGGGAGATATCAGTTTGATCGATGAACCGCGCTCATTGAGACCAAAAATCATGAACAACCAGGATTTTCGACAGGTTGTGGACGCAAATTCCAGGACAACGTGCTAAGAACTTGCAGAAATGTTCAGATTAAGTCCTGAAACTGTTTGTTTGCATCTTCATCAGCTAGGTAAGACGTGGAAGTTAAGCAAATGGATCTCACATGATCTGGCAATTGATAACAAATTAATTCGTCTTACCATTTGTTCAGCAAACATTTCACGCAACGCTAATGAACCATTTCTTAATCGGTTATTAACCTGCGACGAAAAATGGATCTTGTATTCAAATTCTAAGCGTTCGTGTCATTGGTTGTCGCCTACTGACTCGGTACCACACACGCCCAAGGCGTCCTTGCACACCATGCAAGGTTTTGTTGTGTGTTCGGTCGACAGCTAGTGGAATTCTCCATTATGAGTTTTTGGAAACGGGTCAAACCATCACTGCTAACTTTTATTGTGAGCAGCTTCAACGAGTACAAGCAGCACTCATCCAGAAACATCCTTCTTTGATCAATCGGAAGAAAGTGATATTCTTGCAGAAGAACGTCAAGCCTCATACCGCAAAAGTGACCCGAGAAAAAATTTCTGAACTCGGCTGGGAAACGTTACCACACCCGCCATATTCTCCCGACATTTCGCCCAGTGATTATCACCTTTTCTTGTCTCTTGACAACTGTATGAGGCACCGACAGTTCACAACTCGAGATGGTGTAATAAATGCAGTTCGCCAATTTTTTTATTCCAAATCCAGGGACTTCTACAATACCGGCATACAAAAATTGGTTTCACGTTGGCGAAAGGACATTGAATGTGATGGTAATTCAACTAAAAACCGCAGGAACTTATTTGGTTACCATCTAAGCCAGTTGAATTAATAAAACACTTTATCCTCAGCTCGCACTGCTCTCAAACCCCATTTCTCTCTGTTCAAATCTCCCGCCGTCGACGGCGGCTCCGGGTGGCTCTGCCGCCCGTACCGGATATTTCCGTTAGGGGCGACGACCGTTCATATTTCATAGGGTAATCCTATCCCAGTCTGGCCCGAAGCGAAGGCGGCGGTCGCCGGTAGGCAGGTCTGCCACTCCGCCCCCACACCTAACACAATTGATCACCCGGAAAACTCATTTTTTAACCGGCTCCCGGCATTTCCCGAAACTGCCATTGCTCCCTGATTCCCCGCTCGACGGTCCCGGCTATTCGCCCGCTGGTCCAGACGCGGCAGACCGTTCGAAGGGGACCCGTGTGTTATTTACATGCTGTCCCGAAATTAGAGGGAGCAACGCTAATAGTAGAAATTGGGAATACAAGCTATCAGCGGATATTGCAGGTTATCAACGGATATATCAGATATTAGTCTTGAAAGTATACAGGTTGTCCACAAAGCTAGACTTTCGTTTACATGATGCATAGGTCTTGCAAAAATAAAGTTTGTTTTCCTACAAAAGAGTCTTAAGATCACCAAGATGTTGTGCGCCGCAAAAATAATCAAACCTAAACGAAACCCTCGATTAGATCAAACGTAAATACGTACGATGAACATCACTCAATCTAAGCGCTTGTCGCTGACCGCGTTGGTATCCAAAATCCTTACACATCGGTTCTAAAAAGAAAACAGAAACAAACACAATATTCGCAGACAAAAGTAGATCAATCGTTTTACTACTACAGAGCATTACTGTGTCATCCGCAAACAGTATAAGTAGTACTAAGAGAGCGTTGGTTTGTATTACAATTAGGATTGTCATTTATGTATGTTAAGAATAAAAGTGGACCCAGCACAGAACCCTGTGGGACGCCACATGAAAGTGTGTGTGTGTTGTTCAAATAAGATGACAAGAGCCTAATTCTAGTGCTATGGAAACTTGTAATGCGAGAATTTTTGTAGAAAGAATGTCATGTTGGACACAATCGATGGCCTTAGTCAGATCAAAAAAAAAGATGTGAGCATGAGCACCACTTTCAAAAGTTGCATTTATTTTCTCAATAGCTAGAGAAGAAAACTTACCTGATCTGAAACCGAATTGAAAGTCAGTAGAAAGGTTGTTGCTTTCAAAATAGTTAATCAACTGATCTTTCGAAAGAATCTCAAGTACTTTAGCAAGTAGAGGCATAAGTGAAATAAGTGTCTCATTGAAAGATCGTCGAATCGCCTTTTTTAAAGAGGGGGGATAACTTTGCTAGTTTGAAAATATCAGTAAGTCATGGTGATATAGCCTGTGTTTTTAATAAATATTTTGTTGATATAGGTGAGCAAATAACAAGTCGGATTGATCAGAACTCAATTTTTGATATATCAGATCATCATGTCGTCAACATTGCTCACTCTATGTTCTAGCTCCAGAAGATAACATAGAGTTACAGCAAATAGTTTGTGATCTGAAAAATAATACCGCACCCGGAAAAGATGGCTTACACACTAAACTATCAAGATTACCATGAAGTATAGCAGTCACCCTATGACTCACATTATCAACCTCAGTTTCAAATCCTCAGCAATTCCTCGCCAATTTAAAGAAAGCATAAAGACACCTACATTTAAATCTGGAAGTAAAGACAATATATTCAATTATAGACCTATTTCAGTTATCAATGTATTTGGGAAGATTTTTGAGAGTGTTTGAATAGCAGACTTTGTTCTTTTATTGAGAAAGATACATAATATCGAACTGTCAATAGAACAAGTGCTTGAAAATTTCCAAGATAGCAATAAGACTGTTGCAGTTTTCCTAGATCTTCAAAGGCTTTCGATTCAGTATCTCATACAATTTTATTAAAGAAACTAGAAAGTGTTGGAGTGCGTAGTGGAGTTCTGAGCTTATTTGAGAACTATTTGGCTGATCGATTACACAAGTTAAGGTAGGGTCAGATTTAAGCAGCATTCAAAAGATCAAAATAGGTATGTCTCAGGGGACGGTTTTGGGACCAACACTGTTCCTCATATACATAAATGAACTACTTCGATGTAATTGCAACTGTAAAATGATATCATATGCAGATAATACTGTTTTAGTTTGCACTGGTCATTCATGGGATGACTCAATACGGAATGCCGAGTTGTCATTAAATAAAGTCAAATGCTGGTTGGATAACAATTTACTTAAATTTAATATCTCTAAAACTAAGTATGTGACGTTTCTCCAACCAAAGCAGGCATTCCACCACCGAACATTAATTGTAAATGATAGTGCTGACACTGTTGAAAGAGTTGAAGTTATTAGATACTTAGGAATCATTGTTGACAGTAATTTAAGATAGCAGAGTCATGCCGAGCTTTTGGCATCGAAATTAAGGAGAATTATTCGTAAGTTTTTCATTCTTAGGAATATTTTAAGCAGAAAGAGTCTTCTCTCAATATATAACTGGTTTGTGGGGTCTGTACTACTTACGGATAAGTATATGGGGAGCTGGACACACTAGTACTTTGTTGGTATATTCAATAGACATATCTATTCTCGACAAAGTCTCAATTTATGTGATCAACACTATTATATAGATTAAAAGGACCATTGTCGGTATTTGGGCGATAATTTAATCCTTTACAAGTTGATAGATACGATTTATATTCTATGGAGAAGTCAATTGCTAAATGGTCTGAAAAAGAGGTGTCAAAGGTGTCAAAAACAGTGCAGAAGTCCTGTAGTTTGAACTCTCCAGGAAACAATAAAAACTATGTCACTGACAAATAAACTGGATTCAAGTTCTTTTGTCAGCTGATTGTAGTATGTGTGTTTCAAAAGATTGACATTTTTTATTAACCTTCACAGTTTATTAACGATAATGGAAAAAACCACAAGAACAATTATGGCTTTATGTTGTTTTAGCAGAAGATAAGGTTAGTGGTATCTAGCTTGAGCAAAAGAATCAGATTAGGTGACTATATTTTTTATTGCTTATTCTTGGAAGTTACGTTTAAACATGCTACATGTTCTAATTTTGCATGTTTCTATATTTTCATGGTGCATAGCGGAGACCCGGGTAAAGCTAATAGTTGAGAAAGTCGAATTTCCCGTTTTACATCTAAACCATGAATCGGTCATCATGGAGAAGATCCACGTGCTCATTTGACTCCTAGGCATGAAGATGTATTTTTTCAACAAAAAAATACACATTGCAAGATGTGTGTGCATGTAATTTCAGCTTTATACTATCCTTACGAACAACTAAATATTTAGTATACTCGTACATTTGAAGTACCTTCTCATTCATACAAATGAGAAAGATTGAGTCAATGGTTTTGGTAAGAAACAAGTAAATATGGCAAATAGAAGACTTATACGACTGAGTATTTTTTTCAATGATATTATGAGTAATCAAAAATATATTACAAAATCGTTTAAAAATGAAATTAATACAAATTATAACCTAAACTCTTTGAATACTAGTAATAACTACCAGCATCAGTAGTCATATAACCGCATTTTTTGATAAAGTTCTGTATATAACGCGGTCAAGTGTTACAACTCATTGCCCAGCAAATTGCAAACTTTAACAACTACTAAATACAGATCCATTTTGTAAGCACTTTCACGTAAACAGAATGAAGAGTAAAATCGAATCTATTACTAGTCTTCCAGCTATTACCAGATTGAATTGCGTTTGATGAGGTTAATGTATCTTATTTCTTATCCTTTTTTTGGCATTGCATGTTATAAGGAAACATTCACTTTTCTCGTAGTCGAGTTAGTGTTCTAGTTAGCATTCTCAATTTGCATTTGATGATTCTATAATATCTTAGCTGCGCCTCCTTTTTTATCAGTTTAGATCTCTATGTTTTGTAAAATGCTTATTTATTTCATTTAAGATTCTATCTATCTTTGTGAACGACTGGTATCTACCTCCTTCTTTGAAGTTCAAGTTACAGTAAGCCCTATTGACTTTTGTTATACGTCATCACAGTTTTTTAAGATATAGTTTTAATGTATCGTGCGCATACTGCGTATCTGCGATACTTTTCAAAAAGATGTTACAAAGGATTGCTTTGTGAAAGACCTATCCAACAAAATTACTTGTATACCAATAATCCTACAAAGCGATATTACTGACCACTTCTCCACTATTTTACTGATATCTTCAAATGAAAAACATTCTAACATCCCTACCGTTAATAACAACCAGAAAATTACAAATTTTTTGTCGACAATTCAAAACTAATATCAAATGTCAAACAAGAATCCTGGGAACAATAATATACTCTATAATAATATAGACAAAGCAATGGGACTGTTCATAGAGAAAATAAAAAAACTAATAGATATTAGTACCAATAAAGTAATAATTAGTCACAAAGAGAAAAGCAGAAATGCCTGGATTACCAAAGGATTAATAACATCGGCAATGAAAAGAAAGACTATATAATGTAATGAAACTAACGCCAACTACAGAGAATACCGACTGCTACAACCAATATAAAAATAAATTTATAGAGCTTGTAAGGCAAACCAAACGAAAACATTACCTAAATAAATTGAATAATAACTAAATGATCCTAAGCGGCTTTGGACAACTATTGATGAGATTACTGGAAAACAAAAGTTAAAGAGTGTGTCACTGAGTTAAATACAACATCGGGAACAGTATTAAAAAATACTCAACAGATATGCGATGAATTTGTACAATTCTTTACTGACATAGGCGAAAATTTAGCAAGTAATATACAAGCAAATGTACAAAATACTCAGCCTCCAAAAAGAACTTTGAACTCATTTATTTGGATAAAGTCGAGCAATGTGAAGTATATACCACTGTTATGTCCTTAAAAATCGGAAAAGTCCTGGTTCGATGGTATTAAAAGCGAGCATTTGAAAATTATAGCCGAGGACATAACAGAACCACTCACTTACCTAATCAACAAATGCTTTGAATCTGGCATATATCCCTCAATTTTAAAAAAGGTAATATAATACCGATACATAAATCAGGAACAAAAACAGATGTTAACAACTATAGACCAATATCAATAATATCAGTGTAGCAAAGGTTTTTGAAAAAGTTTTATCTACTAGAATGATTCGATACCTCACAAAATTCAAAATTTTTAAGTGAAAATCAATATGGATTTACCAGAAGGGAAGGCTACATCGGACGCAATAACTAAAATTGTAAATCAAATACATTCCAAAATATTGATAACAGAATCCCTTCAATCTGCATTTTTTGTTGATTTAAAGAAAGCTTTCGACACAGTTAATCACAAATTATTATTAGAAGCATTGGAGAGAATTGGTTTCAGAGGAAACGCGTACTCACTGATCGAAAGTTATTTGTCAAATCGCCCACAATCTGTGCAGATATCAGGAATCATTAGTAAAGAAAGTATATTAAGTGTGGTGTCCCACAAGGAACTGTCTTAGGTCCGCTGTATTCAATATATATTTAAATGATATTTTCCAAATTAATTGTGTGGCAAAATAACTAGTTTTGCAGATGATACTGCAATATTATACTGAAGGCACTGACTGGTCTGATCTGAAAAATGTAATTGAAAATGATTTTAATCAAAATTATTCAGTGGTTTAACAGTAGAAAATTAAGCATTAACTACTCTAAAACACATATTTTACCATTTGGATCTTATGCTAGACATCTGCCAAATTACACAAGTTTCTCCTTCAATATTAATGATCAAAAAATGCAATTATAGAGTGCCCAACATAAAATACGCTTGGAGTGGTCTTGGATCCTCACTTACGATGGGAGATCCATGTCATTATATTTTAAAAGAAAGTTAGATTTGTATCCAAACAAATTAAATACCTTGGGAATATATTGACAGAAAAAATATCTTAGAACATTATACCATGCACTGATTGAGCCTCATCTCACATATGGTATATTAGCATGGGGAGCTGCATGTTCCTCACATATCTATAATTTAGATGTTTTTCAAAAAAGTATTCTAAAAATGATATTAAAAAACCGAAACTTTATCCCACTGAAAAATTATACGCAGATGTTCGAATGTATGATATAAGACAGCTTTATTTCTTACACAGTATCACTCACTACCATAAATTTGTAAACACCGACCAAAAAATTAAACATAATCATTATACCAGGTACAAAATTCGTGGCACAGTAGTTCCTCAACCGCATAAATCTATAATGCAGCGATCATATCTCTATTTAGCGCCTAAATTTTATGAAATTATACCTAAAGACTTAAAAGATTTACGTTTCGGAAATTGTTTCAAAAGAAATTTAAAAAAGTGGCTACATTCTATATCTAGGACTGAAATTCATAAACTCATATACGAACATCAACTAAATACATAATCTACTGTAGCTAATTTTTGTCCTTTTTTGTCATTTGCATTCTACAGTTTCAACTTAAATTATTGGTCCATGTACAGGCGATGCCTTCTATTGGGCCTGTTTTGATTTTATATTTATTTACTCATATTGTTTGTTATCTTTGTACATTGAGTGAATAATATTATATTATTATTATTATTATATTATTGATGTTATTGTCGTGGCACTCTGCGGCCCTTAATTCAATATTAGATTATACGATTTCATTCAAGCTAATTGTAAGAGACAAGTCACCCAAAAGAGCTATATGTCTGCATTTTCCCGTAAAGTCTGACGGATTTGACATTAATTTCCTTTGTCTTCGCAATCATCCTCCTAATGCCCC